TTTACCATCCATCCATCCATCCATCCATCCATCCATCCATCCATCCATCCATCCATCCATCCATCCATCCATCTATCCATCCATATAAATAACAAACATACGTCAATCTGATCAAGTTTGACATCCTTGTAGGCCTTTTTCATTTCCTTCGCCCCAGTCTTCATGGCATCCACCTGTGGACACAAAACAGGCAGAAGAAGTTCTGGTTTTATCACTGGCACCATAATCTGCCTTTTATTAAACAAACATCGACACCAAAACACGTCTGCTCATCAGAGGTCTGTCGTACAGCGCAGGATTAGTGGCGGAAATATCAGCTTGACGAAAGGTGGTTAACCTCTTAGCTGGACACGTTGCCATAGCAACTCAAACTGGTTGAAAATAAAAGCTCAAGAATTGCTCTCAAAAGTTTAGAGCTTAACTAATTTGTTTGATTCGTGCTTCACCGCCTCCTTTCTCCTGCAGCCTCTTACCCGTGATGCAGAAGTGAATCTCAGCAAAATATTCTGCAGGATATATTATTTTCTAAACTCGTCTTTGTGTAGCTTTATTATTTAAAACAATGTTTTTATTTGATTAAAAGCCTCTCAGCTCATTGCTAACCTCACCTCCAGTGGTCTTGCTCTTTTCATTTTTTTAAACTGTTTTCTCCGAGCTGAACCAGCATTCCCTACGAATTTCAGCCATTAAAACCAGAAATCATTAAAACCCAACCATTAAACCGTGTGGTTTTGATCTAATAGCCTGGATAATATGGAAAAACGTAATTAATAATAATAATGTCATCACAATGTCAGCACTGTATGTTTCCATACAATGGCGAAATTAGTCTCTGCATTTAACCCATCCACCACCAGGTGGTGCAGTGGGCAGCTATTGAAGGCGCCCAGGAGGCATTTTGGGGATGAGGTGTGCTGCCCAGAGACACCACATGATGTGCAGTGACTGGGGATCGAACCTGGGACTTTTGGGTCCCAAGCCGGCTGCCCTGCCTCTACACCATCTCGGCCCCCTCAATTGCAGAGACATTAGAAATCTAGCACACCTACTGGCTTGAGTTAATTTCTGTTCCTTCTTTATTCGATGCGGCGATCGTTTAATATAGTCAGGATTATGTTTACAATCTAAAATGATCCACTACGCCACAGGACGACGCCTACATCACATTTAATAAACTGAAAACATCCTCGTGGTATCATAAAAATAAGCTTTTCACTTACACAGTCATACAGTAAGAGGTTTGTTTGGGGATTCTTCTGTTCTGGTCTTAGCTGCAACATTTAGTAGTAGTCTTCAGACAGTGTTCACTTAAAACTATTTATTGTTCCCGTAATCATTAATGGACTACAAATGTTTTCTTCTTGCAAGAAATTTACATTTTACAGTTTTATATTCAGCTGGCGTCAACTAATCCTCAGAGAAATGTGCTCATATTCAACATTTACAACACCAGCGAAAAGATGACTGCTGATGATTTGATGAAACATGAAAAGAAAAGTTGTTGTCCAGACCCTGGATTTTTCTGTGTGAACTTATATTTTTGTTTATTAAGAGATATAACAATCTGAATTGTTTAAATCTGTGCGGTTAGTTTGAAATGTTTGATTTTATCACTTTAAAGTCACTGTAACTAAAGTACTTGGTGTTATTTTGAGACAGTGTGGCTCTTACTGTAGTTTTGGTGTCCTTTAGGGTCTGGATCGTGTAGTTTGCCTGCTCCATGTTGAACGACTGCTGAACCAGCTGTTCCCTCTGACCTTCATACCTGCGAGAAAAGAGCAAAATGTAAGTATTTAGTACAAAGATATTTTTAAAGATCAGTTTGCGTTTTGATCTTTCCAATGCTGGACTGGTGAAGCTGGTTGAGTGTAATTAAGTTAAACTAGTTGTCCAAAAAAAAATTCTCATTCACAAACAAAACTACAGATTTTTCTGCTTGTTTTATATATGACAATACACTAAATATATTGGATTGTGGAACAAACATGGCAATTGACAACATTGTTTGAGTTGTAGTTATCCCTTACTTCAACTTTTACTCCCTGACTCTGAACGGTGAAGGCGGGCGATGATGTTTTTGCCTGCGTTAGTGTAATTGTGCGTCTTTTCCTAAAATGTCTCATGAATCACTGAACAAATGTCAAACAAACTTTCAGGATGGTTAACTTTTGTAATGAACACCATTCAAGATGGCCACCACAGCAAAGGGACCTTAGAAAAACAAGTATTTATAACTTCGGCTCTAACTGTAGTTAACCTTGTTTGTCTTTTAGGAAAATGTCTCATAAACCACTCATGAGACAATACAAAAATAACTAACCCAGTCAATAAAAAAAGAGCTAAAATTCAATATGATCATAGCGTAGAGTCACTCATATACTCTGAGCGTGACGTCTCGTCATATAAGATGAATATGCTTAAAATTTTTACCACCGTCAACCACTTTACAAACTAAATGCTGCACAGGAACATATTATCTTAGTCAGTGCCCTACATCTGATAAAAAAAAAAAAATCTTATCTGTTTACATATAAACAACTGAGTAAATGCAGTTTATTAATCAGGGTCGACTCACATTCTCTTCTGCTTCAGGACTCTCATCGCCTTTTGCTTCACCATATTCTGTGTGAAGAAAAGAACAGAAAACATTGACGCCTCTCAGCCTTTAAAACCTTTTAAAACAGGATGTGTCCCTTACCTTGGAGGGCCCATCTCTCATCTTCTTCAGCTGATCCTTGTACTTTAAAAGCTCAGCATCCAGCCTGCCTATTTTCTTGTCTATGGATTCTGCCCTGGCATCCACCTGATTGAGGAGGAGATCAATTAGAGGTAATGATTTCCAGCAGCCTGTGCTTAAATGACCTGCTTGTTTGAGTGTGTACTTTAGATAAAAGCTTGCCAAATAATTGTGCTTCACAAACACATCACTCTTAATCATATCCAAGTATTTAAAGGACAGCTCGTGTTTGTGCCACATTTCTGAGGGATTAATTAGTTATAACGTGTGAATTCAAAGCAACCGTCGCTGCATTTGTGTGTCCATGTTAGTAATGGCACCGTTAGTTCGGAGATAAACAACACTTCGTACTCACAGTGCTGATACAGTCCGACAGGTTCGGAGGAGGCGCTTTGGGCTTCCCGCGTCCGAATATTCTGTTCATTTTAAGACGTTTAATTACCTCACAGCTCACGGCTTTTGCTTTTATATTCACACACACAAAAAAAGCTTAAAATAAAAGGGATTCTTGTCCAGAAGTCACCCGGAAGCAACGGTTCTTACGCACAGGAATATGATTGGTTCGTGGAAGCGCTCGTGACCAATGAGGCGCTGGGTGCGGTGCTGCCCCCTGGCGGTGAGTGGAGGTGTCGCAGCTCGGACAGAAAACCTTTTGTCCCAGCAAACATTTATCACCCCACCAGTCTTTGTTGGTCCTCCTTTTACAAGGATGGAGGCAAGACATTAGATTATTACCAGGGTTTAGGCAAATCCAGTCCTCTTTGTACACATTAACAACCAAAGTAAGCAAATGATTTATAAAATATCCCTCCACAGATAAAAACTACAGTACTTAGAAAAACCTGGTGTGTTGTTAGAGAAGAAACTATTTAGGCAGATTAAAGTATATAAACAATTTGAAACATCATATCTGCAACCTTATGTAACCTTAAATAATCTTATGTTCAAAATCCCATTTAGTCATTGCCATCAAGTTCATAAAATTGAAAGTTATATTTCCTCATCATGCGTTTATTATTGTCACTGATATGGCCTACTCATTTGCATTCTTTACTTTTTTTAAATATGATAATTGTTATTGACCATGCATAACATTATGAGTAGCTGCTTACATCTGAATGTGATCTGCTTCACGCAACGTTAAGCTTATAAATTATTATGAGCTGAAACTAATTTTTGTTTATTAAGACTAATTAGTTGATTCATAACTTTTTTGTATAAAATAAACAAATGTAAGAAAACTTGCATTCAAACATGGGCTAAACAAAAATCCTTTATCATTTTAAACTTTTTGTAAGTTTATGCACTGCACTTATTTATTAATATCAACCATTTCCTGTCTTTTCTAACCAGCTCTGGGATTTGAACCATTTCTTTTCTGCATTATTCTGCAGAGATTGAAGGGTTTAGTTGTCTTCATTCAACTCTATAGATTTTATTGCCAGTTTCAGCTTGGGATTGAGGTTTGTGTGTGTGTCTACAATTTGATAAATGTTTTCTGTTATCTTCACTGGCTGTATGTTTTGTATTACTCTCAGGTTGGAAAATGCAGCCATGCCCAAGACCATGAGTCTGTGAGCAAATCCATCCATCCATTATCTTTACCCGCTTCTTCCATTTTGGGTCACAGGGGTCTCTGTGAGCAAATGTAGTTCTTTATTTTTACAAAACAAAAGCCACGTTCAAACAGTTTTATTCAACACTTTGGCTGAATGACTCTGTGAGTGGAGTCAATCCATGGAGATCTGCAAAAAAAAAAAAAAAAAAAAAATACACAACTACAAAGTGCTCTTGTAGATTCAGCTTCAGCAAAGTTTTATTTTGGGCAGCATCCCACGTTAAAAAATACTCACATGTTGACAAAAAAATAAAAAATAAATTAAAAAGTATCAGTAGGTAAAGTGTTTCACAGTGTTTCAAAGATTAGCATTTAAATAAATAAACAAATAAATAAATAAAATGTATATCATGCACACCTTTCATGCCAGAGTTTTACCCAATAATGATGAAAAGTCAAACCTTGTAAATGACTTTATGCACAATAGCATGCCATACTGCGAGATCTTGCATGATCTGTTTGTTCCTTAATTATGTGTTGAGCTCAGCTACTACCGCACCAAATTTTAGCTCAGTATCTGTAAAAATGACAGATTTATAGCCTTATTTCTGTTGGCTAAGGCTAATTAGCTGCGGTGGCCATCTTGACTTAGGTTGTTGACTCCAAATTCTTAATGAATTATCAATGTTCATCCATTTTTTCTGACAGTTTCATTACAATCCATCCAGTGGTTTGCAGTATTTTGCTAACACAACTATGAGAATTATCTGTAATAAGTCTTTCTTAGAACTCAGCGTCTAGGTTGGGGATGATCCTCAGCTACTACCACCAAATCTTAGCACATTATTTGTACAATTGACTGAACTATTGAACTTTTTCATTTTTAAGGTCAATTGGCTACAACCATTAAATAAAAAGCATCATCACCTTAACCTTTGGCAGTAATACTACTAAAAAAAAAGTTCTCTATGATATTTCTTGCTGTAAATTCAATGCTTTGTCATGACCTCTTAAGTTTAGAGTTGACATTATTAAGAATTTGATGAATGTTTTAAATCCATAACCAATTTACCTTACAATAATTTGTCACATATTTATTTTCTAATATGAAAACTTTGTGGCTAAATGAATTTCAAAGGAACTCATAAATTAGCAAAATTATTATTAACTTTTGGCTTTTTTTGTAAGCTTAGATCAATTATACCAAGAATTTAAAGGCTAATGAGATTTTAACGAGATTACTTTTAGGACTTCTCATTTTTCATTAATGAGAACATTTAGGCACACACTGAGCTGCAACTTTAATTATACCAATGTATTTAAAGTATTTTTAGATATCCCTGCAAATGAATTTGTTATCTCTTCTATAAAATTACAACTTTATTTACAGTTAGAGTGGTAAACTTTATTTGACAATCAGGTCAAAACTCCAAAATATGAATCCAGAATTATTTATTAATAATAGGTAAGCCATAGTCATCAAAATTACAATAAATAAAGGCTTGAAATATTTCACTCTCTATATGAGTTTCACTTTCTGAAATGATTGACAAAAAATATATTGTTTCATGATATTCTATTTTTTGTTGACGCACCTGTTTATTGTTTGAATAATATTTCCTACATCCATTTACTTTTTTCAATTTCTAAACTAAATTTAAAGGATGTTAAATTAGTCTTTTAATGAAGCTGCAAACGGATCTTCAGACTGTTTGGTGAAAAATGTGTAATATCTCTTTTAGTTTTTGTAGAATGATATCAAAATGATGTTTGTTTTTCCAACTAAAGGAGGAGGTGCATTTAGTGAAACTGAATATGATATCTGTATTTCTGTAACCTTGGAAACCAACCTGTTTTAAAACCATTCTCAATCTGGCCTTCCAGGTTGTTAAAAAAACTCTTTCTTGTATTTATCCTCCTCCACAATGACACTAATGCTTTGTCTTCTTATTGAATGGAGGATAACATCACATTTCAAAACAAAGTCAGCAGAGAATTTGGACAAAAACCCATTAATCAATGTCTTGTTGCTGGTCATAGCTGCAGATTGTACTGGTTTCTGCAAAGGAACAAACAAATCAGCTGCAGCCATGTACTTTCACAACATGACAGGTTCAGTTTTGTTTCTGAAAGCAATCTATTAAAAAAAAAACTTTACAAAATGGCCACTGGATCACAAAAACACCATCAGTAAAACCTATGAAGTTTCTCTAAAGCAAGATTTGAATTATTTATTTAACTACATGACATCATCTGCATCCCGGATCAATGTCGTGAACTTGTGAAGAAAATGTAAATAGAAAAAAACTGCAATAATTTTCTCATCTTAGCAACGTGTATTTTAGTCATGGTGGAACTTGCTGGAGCTTTTGAAGGAGAACATTGTCCCATGCTTGTCTGATGTTGATCAGCAGTCCTGGGTTTTCTTCTCTAGATTTTTTGTTTCATCATGTCTTCACTTGATGAGAAGTCGACTGTAGAACGGTCAAGTTACCTCTGCTGATTAGACAGGCCCCCTCCCTCACAGTTTTTAAATCTTGCTTAAAAACACACTTCTATTCCCTGGCTTTCTGCACTGTGTGATCTGTGCTGAGTCTGTGTGCATCACACTGTGTTAGTCATGTTGCGGTTGTTGTTGTTATCCATTATTGTTTTTGTCGGTTTCTACTTTTTGGTGTCCTGTTATGTAATCTGTTGCTATGTGCTTGTTCTGTTTGTCCCTGTACAGCACTTTGGTGTGCTTTGTCACTGTTTAAAGTGCTTTATAAATAAATTGGTATGGTATGGTATGGTAAGTTCAGCGCCTGAACTTTTCCTCTACAACGCCATGCTGTTGTAATGGATGTAGGATAAAGTTTAGCATTGTCTTGCAAGGCCTTCCCTGAAAAAGATGCCATTTGGATGGGAGAATATTTAGTTTTGAAATCTGTATACACTGTTGTGCATTAATGGTGCCATTCCAGATGTGTATAGTGTAGTGGTTATAAAACTGTTTCAATAAAAAAAAATAAGACAGTTAAAGCATTAAGAAAAATAATATTGTTTTGTATTATTTGGCTAAAAATAACTGTCTTTGCTTCATGGCTGTATGTGGGAAATGTGAATGAAAAAAAACAACATAATTCATTCTTCAGTTGAAGTAAAATTCATGGGAATAAGATGCACTGTGATTTCTGATCTAGTGATCCATGATCGATTATTCTGGTCTTGCAGGTTAAAAGCTACAGAATGATGCAGTAAAATGATAATACACTTTACATGTATTTTCTTTAATGTTACTTTTCTGACTACAATTGTATATAGTCTTTAGAGAGTGGTACTTTTTCAAAGTTTGTTTTGAGAGTTCATTTACCGATCGTATCTCGATTGGTTATGTCTGAGTTAGCACAGGGGAACTGTCGCTTCTGCTTTTCCATTACAACACTGAAAGTGACAGAAGTAACACCATGTCTGTGTCTGTTTTCACTATTCCCGTTTATAGGTGTGTAACATATGCTGTCCAAGCAATAGGCCACAAATGCACCCCCATACCATCAGAGAGGCAGGATGGGCCCTCTCGATTCGCCTAACCACCAAACAGTTTTTCACTTTGCCTAAGTCTATTTTAACTTGAGTTTGGCTCAGAGAAGATGCCATTATTTTTGGACGGTGTTCACAAATGGCTTCTTTTTTGCGTGATAGAGCTTTAACCAGCAATTGTGCATGACACGGTTAACTGTGTTTATAGACAATGGTTTGTAGAAGAGTTCTTGAGTCCATGCAGGGACGTTCGTACCAGAATCAACCTCGTTTTTAATGCAGCGCTGCCTGAGGCTTTGAATGTCACGAACATCTCTTATTGACCTTCAGCCATGTCTTTTAGCAGAGATTGATCCAGATTGTACGACTGGAGACGATGGAATAGTCAGAGTTTTCCTAAAACAGTATTTCAAATTTTATTTTTTATTTGCGCAGTACAGCATTTTATTTA